TGAAAGTAGCCAAAGTGACGACTAGTTTATGCATAAAAGATGCTTCAAATAAATGCCTCCTTTTAACGGAACAAATTGACTGAATTTTTATATAAAAAACTTTAGTCATGTAAGAACTGATAGCGAATTTCCCACAGTGCAATGAATAGGCTACTCACAATACTACTGATATTAGACTACTCTTGTCTGGCATGATCTTCTCATCTGTGCCGGATTGCAGTTGCAACTTCATCTCACAGCCCACTCAGCCTCACCAACGAGAATCGAAACAGGTTAACACGCATCAATTAGCAACGCGTCCGGACCGGTGTGTTTCCTACAAGGCAAATTTGCCCTCTGTCGGACGGGCTCTTATTTAAAATTTGTATTTGTTGTTACTTTCGTCGATACTACTTATATACTCGGTGAGTAGGCTGAAGTAATTATACAAACTCTACTAAAGTATACTCATCAAATATCTATCAACGGAAACGAATGGAGACAAAAGAACGACACATCCTGCCATTCTCCTCAGCTCCGAGGAGGAGGAGCAAGAAGGTCGCTTTTCCCGATGGTACAGCCATTTGAACCTCTCCTTAGAGGCGCCAGTATCGGTCCTCGACACGCCACATGTCCGGCAGGGCAACTGTCCTTTAAGGCCAGACTTCTTTATGACCTACCCGGAACAATGTAACCCTACCACGATGGTATCGAGTCAACTGGCAGACGCATGCTGCCCTGCAAACATGTCTGCACCAGAAATGCCGGTTTCACAACTTAGCGCTATTTGGGTTCTGGTGAGGCCAATTCCCGAGTCAGCCTCGTTTGTCGATTTAAGCGACAGTTTCGTGTAGAACAGCAAAGAAGTCTTTGAAACACAATTTTGTTCTTCCCCAGGCCAATCGAATCGCGCTGGGATGATGGAAAAGTGATGGAAATGAGAGAATGCAGCAATCGAGGAGTAGACAAGGAGAGAGCATAACAAAGGACGAATGACGGTAATTAGGCGTAAACCGGCAGAATGTGCCTCTGTGGCTTCTGTGGCAACTGGGCTTCGATTCGTTTGCTGAGATAACCTTGCTGGGAGACGTTAATTTCGTATTCAATTTGATGGAGAAAAGAGTTGTAGAATATATGAAGACCAAAATGTTGTGGCCTCCGTTATGGTCGCAGTCTCCTTTCGACTGATAGAAGTGGGTTGACCTCGTTGTCGCAACTGGGTCTTGTGTTCAGGGCGAGGGCGGCAGTGGGAGAAGAGGGTAAAGAGTAGATAGATAGACCAGGACAGAAAGAGGAGTGATAGTGTA